AATCGTTTGAGATTGAAAATTTTCTTACTGAAATGACGTTGGTTTCCTCGTAGTCAGCTCTCGGTTGATTACGACTTTTACTTCTTCCAACTAAAACTAAATAATCATCTTTCCGGCAACATCGGCAATGCCGACGCATTGCCGCGCACCAGTCCGAAGATCTCACTAAATCATTGAATCAGTAGTAGCGACGGACGGTATTTACAAAAGACAGGCTGGGCAAGGTATCCTGCCCGTAGAAATCGCGATATTTTAGATCATCCTCGAGGCGTGACAACGATTTCTGGAGATTGTAACAATCTAAATGGGAACGATGTCTGTATATATTGTCGACTCAGACCCCCACCTTGAATGAGTGGCGGGCTAATGATGATACAGAGGCGACAAGAACAGACAGGCAAAATATCGCCATTGTTTATTGATGATGTAGCCGCTTTTGTTCTTCTTCTAGAGTTTGTGTTCACGATGCTAGAAATTGCTTCGAAATCTCGGACGGAGAAAGAATTGATCAATCACATTTAAATAATTCGCCAATTGACCAATGCATATTGGTTAATTCTAGGGATGTGCCGGATATCCGGCCTATCCGGCCACTTTTTCACAATCCGGCCGAATAGCCGCATAGTTAATTTATCCGATTATTCAATCAATTCCGCCATTTTTGACATTTTTTTAGTTTTTTTGACATTATTGTGTCAATAATATTGACATATTTAACAATTTAACTCATTTAACATTGACATTGACATGTATGTATATCGTATATATACAGGGTGTCCGAAAAATCGCCTACTCCACTTCGGGAGGTGATTCGGGACCCAAAAACAAGCAAAAAAGTTCATACAAACATAGGTCCGGAAATAAGCCGTTTCCGAGTTATAGCCACTTTTATGTTCAAAAATCGTAATTTAGAATCCGCTTGGCATCCCTCTTTCTTAATTATTTCTTAAATTAAAAATTTTTATTTTTAAATGTTTTTAATTTTTTTATTTTTTTCTCAATTTTTCAATATTTATAAATACGATTACATTATTAAAAAAAAAATCAGTTGTTTTCACGGCTACTTGAAATCAGTTGTTTTCACGGCTGTTCAAAATTAGTTGTTTTCACGGCTACTTGAAATCAGTTGTTTTCACGCCTATTCAAAATCAGTAAGTAAATCACGGCTTTTCAATAAGTTTCAAATTATTATTTAACAACACCTTACTTTTAGGTTGTATCTAATCTTTCTGTATTCATCAATGGATCGTTTAAGTTTTAATGAATTAGCTGATATTTTAAAATAAAAATTTTTAATTTAAGAAATAATTAAGAAAGAGGGATGTCAAGCGGATTCTAAATTACGATTTTTGAACATAAAAGTGCCTATAACTCGGAAACGGCTCATTTCCGGACCTATGTTTGCAGAAACTTTTTTGCTTGTTTTTGGGTCCCGAATCACCTCCCGAAGTGGAGTAGGCGATTTTTTGGACACCCTGTATATATATTATATATATAAAGGGTGTTTTGTTTTAATCGCCCCCGGCAAATATCTCGAAAAATATGAAAGATGCGGAAAAACGTTTCGAACAAAAGTTGTTTGGTTCGAAGAGGGACATAAGATGGTGTCATTGGTTTGACCATGGATGGTCGTTTAAAGCTCACGTGAACAACACCTTTAATTTCTTAAATGGAAACTCTTATTTTTAATGCATATTCTTGTAGCTAATCTCGCCAGCTTTTCAAAACACTATAATAAAGTATTTTTTCGTTAAGAACTTTTGGAATTATAAGGCTTGAAAGTTCTAGTATTTTGACATAAAATACAAATAAGTTTTCGGTAATGTTACCTTAATACTTTTATGCACAGGATAATGAGACAAATCAATTGGTATGAAAAAAAGACATAGTTGCTTTTAAGAAAAACTATGCAGATGCGTGTTGCAAATTACATATTTTTTCTTAAAGGAACTATGCCTTTTTTTCATACCAATTGATTCGTCTCATTATTCTGTGCATAAAAGTATTAAGGTAACATTATCGCAAACTTAATGTTTTACAAGATATTTTGTATTTTATGTCAAAATACTAGAACTTTCAAGCCTTATAATTCCAAAAGTTCTTAATGAAAAAATATTTTCTTATAGTGTTTTGGAAAGCCCTCGAGATAAGCTACAAGAATATGTAATAAAAAGTAGGTAGTTCTATTTAAAAAATTGAAGGTGACCTTTACGTGACCTTCAAGCAACTATTTAAGGTGAAACTAATGACACCATCTTATGTACCCCTTGAAACCATACAACTTTGGTCTGGAACATTTTTTCCAATCTCTTTTACTTTAAGAGATATTCAGCTGAATCACAAAATGATACACCCTGTATATACAGGGTGTTTCGTTTTAATCGCCCCAGGCAAATATTTCGAAAAATATAAAAGATACGGAAAAACGTTTTAGACAAAAGTTGTTTGGTTCGAAGGGGACATAATATAAAGTAGCGTCAAGCAGCGTCAAGAAATGACTAACCGCATCAATGATGGAAATTATATAAGAAAAATTATGAAGATTTTATTGAAGAATCGAAATAAGAAGGAAAAACAACGATAGAAAAGGATGGAACGTACAAACAAGAAAAATAAGCAGCATCAACAAAAATCAAGCAGCATTGACGATGGACATAGAGGAAGAACAATTTTGAAGAATTATTATTGATATAGGGTCAAAATGAGCAGAAAGAATAAAGGGGAAAAAAGAGAATTGCATTGTCATTGCTAAAAGGGATGAACAAGAATCTTTCGGCGATACATTGCGACAAAGAAGACAACGCAGATAGTGATAGAAGAATGAAGATCGGAGAAAGAAGTAGTGGAACAAGAAGAATTAAAGAGAAAATTAACGAAGAAGGATTAAAGAAGAAAGACAGAAACGGCGATAAAAAGAAAAAAAAAGTAAATTACATGAAGAAAAAACTAAAGTTGAATAATTGAAAAATTTGTCGAGAAAGAATTAAATAAAGCAGAAAGCATAACACCAGAGGCAGAAAAATCGTAGAAAGACATGAAAAGGAATCAGGAGGAATTTGTCAGCGAAGCATCGCGATAGAAAAGACAACGCAACGATAGAAGAACGAAGACTGAAGGAAGGAATGGAACAAGCAGAAAGAAAAGCTTATCAAAGGAAAGTCAAGGAAGGAGGAGACTTACAAAAAATTTCCCGAAAAAGAATTAAAAAAATAAGGCGGAGAATGAGGATAACAGGAGGAGGACATCGTTAAAAAGGAATACATGGAATATCTCGACGAAGCATCGTGATAGAAGAGACAATGTAATGATAGAAAAACGAGGACCGAAGAAAAAATGGAACAAGAAAGAAAGAGCGACTTATCGAAAAATGATCAAGAAAAAAACAGAAGAAATTGCCATATAAAAAGGATAAACGGAGGACTAAGATAAAGGAAATATTGAAGATGGAAATTGCGGTAAATAAATTATGGGAACTTTGTCCAGGAAAAATCGAAGATGGCAGAGAGAATAACGATCCAGAAGAAGAAGGATCGTGAAAAGACGTTAAAAAAAAAATCAAGAGGAATCTTTCAGAGAGACATCGCGACAGAAAGAACAATGCAACGATTAAAAAACGAAGACCGAAGAAAAGAATGGAACAAGAAGATAGAAAAGTTTATCCAAGGAAAATCGAGGAAAAAGAAAAGAAACGAAGCAATGTAAGAGGATAAACAAAGAACCAAAGTGAAAGGAGTATCGAAGACGGAAATTACGATGGAACCATGACAAAACATTACGTTTGTCGAGGAAAAATTAAAATAACGACGGAGAAAGAGGATTGACAAGAAGAACATTGTTTATGTAACACGTGCATGGAAAGTGGCCCATTACGGTACGCACGCTACACGTACGTGATAGACCACTTTCCACGCACTTGCAACATAAAATAGGGTGTGCAAGTCGTGCGTAAAGATGGAAATTCCCGGGTGCAGAGTTGACGCACGAGCCGAAGGCTTCCTTGATCTTCGGCTCGTGCGTCAACTCCGCACCCGAGAATTTTCATCTTACAGCACTTGTTACACAAATAACTATAAAAAGGAATAAAGAGGAACATCTCAACGAAATAATGGAACAAGAAGAAAGTTTGTCGAAGGAGGATCAGGAAAGTGCTAAGAAGAAACGGCCATGCAAAGAGGATAGGAGGATTACGGAGAAAGAAGTATTGGAGATCGAAATTGCAGTGAAGAAATTACGAGAAGTTTGTTCAGGATGAGTCGAAAAGTTCAGGAAAAATAACGACAGAGGAAGAAAAATCGTAAAATGACATGAAAGGGAATCAAGAAGAATTTGTTGACAAAGCATCACGATAAATGATATATCGTAACGATAAAGGAACGAAGATCGACGAAGAAAATGGAATAAGAAGGAAGAGAAGTTTGTCAAAGGTAGATAAAGGAAGTGGAAAAGACACGGCCATGTAAAAGGGATAATAGGAGGACTAAGATGAGAAGAATATGAAAGATGGAAATTTTGCGATGGAGAAATTACGAAAAGTTTGTCTAGGAAGTATCAAAAAGAGCAGAAAAAACAACGATAGAGGAAGAAGAATCATAAAAAACCGTTGTTAAAAAAAGAATCAAGAGGAATCTTCCAGCGAAGCATTGTGGTAGAGTGTAGAGGAAACAATGGAACGATTGAAGGACGAAAACCGAAGACGAAATAGAGCAAAAAGAAAGAGAAGTTTATCGAAGGAGGATCGAGATCAAACTGTTGCTGCAAAAATGAAAGAAGAAAGGAAACAGTTTGTAAAAAAGATAAACGGAGAACCAAGCTGAAAGGAGTATCGAAGATGGAAATTGCGGTGATTTACAAAAAATTGTCGAGGAAGAAGTGAAAAATTACGACGGAGAAACAAGGTTTATAG